GGAAGCCCTGCTCAACATGTCTAACATCTGTAAATATGACAGCCAAACTAGCAGTGTCATTATTGAACCAGAATAATTTCCTTTTCTCTACATTCTATCACCCTTGTCTGAAGTTACATTGCATTTTATTCAAAGAAGTTTGAGGCACTTACATTCCATATTCAGAAATTACTGGCATTTTTTTGAAACTCTGTGTACGTTCATCGGGATTTATAAAGGAAAAAAATCCTCCAAGTATTGTTTTAGCTCCAGAGTTGGAAAATTTCCTTGGAACATTATTGGGCTGGAGGCAGATGGATTTCAAACTCTTACTGACACTGGCAGGAAGCAAGAAGAGCAGAACAAGGTTAAATGAAAGAAGACTTGAGCCATCCTTCCATCCTTCCAAATACATGGTCAACAAAATAGAGCGGTCAAGTTTGCAAAAAATAAATTGCCTTGGTTAGACCTAATGGGAAACATCCACTGAAAAGGAGGAAGATATATAAAGAATAGATTTTTTTATTGTCCAAGTGTGATTGGTCACACAAGGAATTTGTCTTTGGTGCATATGCTCTCAGCGTACATAAAGAAAAAATGATATATTCATCACAAATTAAATAAAAAAGTAAAGATAAAAGAGAGTGGTTTCCTTGACTCTGATTTCAATGGCCCAAGATAAATTTTGAGGAATCTTTCAAAGTGCAGCAGGAATTTCTGAATTTTTTTCTCCTTGCCATCCTTGTTCAGGTGTGATGCTGTCAAGAAAGAGAACTGAAATGCAGTCATTGGAAAATCAGAGGGAAAATTATCACCTTTATTCCCTGGTGATTTAGGCAAATTGTGTTTGTCTAAAATCTGTACATGGATACTGTAAGAGTTACAATTAGTTTCCCATAGCAAGTGCCATTTTCTTTCTCTTGCCTCGCAATCTTCTTTGTTCTTACCTTGACCTTATACACAGAAAAGTTTCAGAAACTTTTGCTTTGGAGAATTGCATTACCTACATCAATCTACATTATCTCTCACATGGATGCCAACTTGTTATATCACAGAAAGCTTTACTACAAGGGGTTGAAAGAAAGATGTGATCTTGAAAATGTGATTAATTTACCGTATTTTTCAGACTATAAGACACACTTCTCCATCACAAAAAAAGTGGGTGGAAATGTTGGTGCGATTTATAGACCAAATATGGTATATAATCTCACAAATTTCATCAAAATCACATTTCACTACCAATAAAGGAGAATATTTTTGGCCTCCTGAAACATCCCCACGCACGTTTTTGGCAAAAACTGGATGCACAGAGGGTTTGGGAGGCCTGCATAGTGCTCCTGGGGGCTGGGGAGGGCAAAAACCAGATGCACAGAAGCCAAAAATTTTTCTTGTTTTCCTCTTTGAAATTTAGGTGCGTCTTATACTCCAGTGCATCTTATAGTCTGAAAAATACAGGTAATATACAGAGAAAAACTATAATAGTCCACTGTCTTCCCTAAAATGAAAACAGGCAAAATAAATCAATCCTCAACTTTTGATTGCAGTTGAGCCCAAAATTTCTGAGTCATTTTTTCATTGAGTTTTGCCCCATTTTATGACTTTTCTTGCCTCAGTTGTTAAGTGAAGCACTGCAGTTGATAAGTTAATAACCCAGTGGTTAAGTAAAACTGGCTTCTTCATGGACTTGCTGTCAGTTGTCAGAATGTTGCAAGAAATGATCACATGATCTTAGATCTTAGATCACTGCAACTGTCATTAATATGCCTTGGTAGTACAGTGGTCTAAAGCACCCTGTTATTAAGACCAGCTGCCTGCAATTACTGCAGGTTTGAATCTCGCCAGGCTCAAGATTGACTCAGCCTTCCACCCTTTCTAAGGTAGGTAAATTGAGGACCCAGTTTGTGGGGGCAATAAGCTGACTTTGTATAAATATACAAAAAGGATGAAGGCTATTGCTTAGCACATTGTAAGCCGCCCTGAGTATTCGGAGAAGGGCGGCATATAAATCATTTTTTTAAAAAAATTAACATGAAGCAATTACCAAGCATCTGAATTTTGATCACATGATCAAGGGGATTCTGCATAACTTTGAAAAATGGTCATAAGTCAGTTTTTTCAGTGCTTTTGTAACTTACAATGGTCACTAAACAAAGTGTTGTAACACGAGGACTACCTGTAATTCTTTCCATGTCTTCAAATAATCCATCCAAGCATCTATCAATCACCTATTCCTATACAAGAAATCTCACAAATTTCATCAAAATCACATTTCACTACCAATAAAGGAGAATATTTGTAGCTCAGGGTTGAATCATTTCAACCCTGAGCTACAAATATTCTCCTTATTGGCTCATCATATTTCAGTGAAACCAAGAAGAAATAGAAATCCAGACGATAAGCAGCTTTAGCTTCAAATTTATAATCTGGGTATAGTGGTAAAAAACAATCTCAGATATAAAGGCCGGACAAGGAATAATGGATGGAAGCAGATCAAGGAGAGATTCAACCTAGAAATAAGGTGAAATTTTCTGACACTGAGAACAATCCACTAATGCAGTGGTTCCCAATCTGTGGGTCAGGACCCCTTTGGGGGTCGAATGACCCTTTCACAGGGGTCGCCTAAGACCGTCAGAAAACACATATTTTCAATGGTCTTAGCAATAATATTATGGTTGGGGGTCACCACAACATGAGGAACTGTATTAAAGGGTCGCAGCATTAGGAAGGTTGAGAACCACTGCACTATTGGAACAGAAGTTTCCTTTGGAAGTTGTGGGAGCTTCATCAGTGGAAGTTTTCAAGAAGAGATTGGACTGCCATTTGTCAGAAATGGTGTAGGGCCTCCTGCTTGGGCTGGGAGGTGGGGGTTGGACTACATGACCTACAAGGTCCCTTCCAACTCTGTTAATCTGTATCTGTAAATGTTATCTTGAAAATTGCTATATTCTGTTATTGCCGATTGCAACTGGGAATGCTTAGAAATGCTAAATTAGGTTTGCAGTTAAAAAAATTGTACGAGCCGTACTTTGCCCTTCTGTGAGTGTTTTTTTAAAACATTTTTTTCAAATACACATTTATTGGGATTTTAAACCAAAAAGTTAAAAACTAACACCAAATGATATTAAAAAAAGAATAACTGCAAAAAAGAAAAAAAAAGAAACAAGGTCAAACGTTTTACCTGCATTTTCAAGAAGACTCATTCTAATGTTATTCTGACAAAATTATGGGTATTTTTTTCTTTCAAATGTATGGAATTTCTAGTTCCAAAGATTTACTAAAGCTTTTCTCTGCATAAATGTCATTTTAAAAGCATATATATCTTGGAGATGAGCTTTTACAATACCAGAAAAGTACTATTAAAGGTATTTTTCTTCTCCCCTTTATATCAGAATTTACAACACTTTGTTCCTTCATTCAATTTGTGTGATGGGCTACTGCTAATCGTGTAATTCTCAAACAAATTCAGTATAGAGTGAGGTTGACCAAATCTGATTTATTTCTCACATTTCAATATTTGTCAGTCTTGATTCAACTCATCTCATAGACTTATTATTTTCTGTAAAACATGTGATGAATGGAGTATTCAGTGTGTTTGAAGCCTTGAGTTTTATATAAAAGGAACTGGTGGGATAATAAAATAGCCAGGACAAAACACAGACTTCTCTCCAGCCAATCTGTGCTTGAAGAAAAATACCAAAGCAGAAAAGTCAGCTTGGAGCGTATATGGATACCAGGAAAGGAGAAGAGGCATCAAGCTAAATTGCTAGAAAATTTCCACAAAAATTTTTTTTTTCATTTTTTCCTATTCAGATTATGACTCCCTTGTAGGAGTTTTTCTTAGTTAATTCATTGCATTTTCAATACTATTTCTAAAATAATCTGAGCAGCTTTCATTTCATATAAAATATATAAGGTAACAAGCTAATAAATATATATCAACATAAAAATCTAATATATGTCAGAATATTCATGACTGGGAAGACATGACAACAAGGTCAGCCAATGAATTGGCATAACCAATGAATTTGAAAGAGCCTGGTGGCGCAGCAGACTAAACTGCTGCTGTTAAAGTAGCACTTAGCTGCCAGCTGCCTGCAATTACTGCGAGTTCAATTCTCACCAGGCTCAAGGTTGATTCAGGCTTCCATCCTTTCCAGGTAGGTAAAATGAGGACCCGGTTTGTGGGGGCAATAAGCTGACTTTGTATAAAATAGAACACCACTTACGGGGGGGCCAAAAAACCCTACTAAGCAGGTATATACAAAAGTATGAAGGCTTTTGCTTAATGCATTGTAAGCCACCATGAATCTCCAGAGAAGGGTGGCATATAAATCAAATAAATAAATAAATAAATCAAATGAATAAATAAATAAAATGAATAAATAAATAAATAAATAAATAGCAACTAAATCAGCCAATGGAACTGAAACCGTTTGGAGTCTGCACAGTTTGGAGTTAGCTCTGTGTGCTATGTTGAGAATTAAAACTGAAACTAGTCTGTCTGTTGTACTCTGCTTGTGATTTGTTTGTAAATGCTACCACGTTGGAAGAATCTGCTGTTGGTATTGTACATTTAATCATGTGTTATTATGTATATATATAAAAGTTAATGAATCCTGCAGAATCAGTTATCTGTGTGTGCATTCTGGATTTGATTTTTGCAACAAACTCTGACAATATATATATGTATGTATGTATATATATATATATATATACATATATATATGTATGTATGTATATATATATATACACACACACACACACACATATTTCTATAGGTATCCCACCTCCAGAAGAACTAAAATCACCCCATTTCCACCACAGAAGAGCCAGGTGTGACTTCTCAACTTGATAAAATGAGGGGTAGAAAATGGGGCCAATGTATAAAATTTTCAATAGAGCTACTTGACATCTTGGAAACCAAAGAGGTTCTCTCATGTTAACAGCAACCATGCATTTCCCAAAATACCCTTATTCTCTCCATAGTATCAAAAAATTCCAATGCAATCATGGTACTATTTATTTGTTTATTTGTTTATTTATTTTCAAACATTTATACAGCTAACTATCTTCTAACCAACTCTAGATGGTGGTTCCCAATCAAAAGTTAAAACAACCTATAAAATAATACTTAAACTATAAAAAAAAATAAATCAAAATATTAAAAACTACAAATACCCAGCCAGCTAATCTGACCCAGCACTTGGTGGAAAAGCCAGGTCTTCAAAGCTGCATGGAAGGCTAGGATGGAAGAAGTCTGCCAAAGATTAGGGGCAGAGTGTTTCATAAGGCAAGCCTGTAATGGAACAGGCACACTTCCTTAAAGGGACAGCTTCAATTACATATTCCTGGCTTTCTTCAATATTTCAGATCACCCCTAAGATTACTCACGATCACCAGAAAAATGCCAAAAAATTACAGTATAGGATTTCACTATTTAACTGTTCTACAGCTCGGATAAAGCCTTAGAAATTGATTATATATGTTACATATATAAAGAAAAGAAATAGCATTGAATTGCATGATGAAGTTTGCGAGCTTGAATATTTGGACTTTTCCCATGAATGTTTTTGGTAACCAGGTAAAGGCTGAATTACAGAATTATTCATTGTTAATCTGTCCTCCTGGTTAGATGCTGTTTGGTGTTCAGATGTGGGTTCAGGAGAATGATGTAGCATTTGGGCAGGAAGATGCAACCCAGGAGACCTGCAGTAGAGCCCAAGATGGAGAAGATCTCCACAGCCACCATGTATTTCCCCTTGGTGCTCAGATAGGCTGGGATGAAGGACACCCAAATGCTACAGAACACAAGCATGCTGAAGGTGATCAGCTTGGCTTCATTAAAAGTATCAGGCAGTTTTCTGGCAAAGAAAGCCACAGTGAAACTGATGGTGGCCAGGAGCCCCAAGTAGCCCAGGACAATGTAAAACATGGCATCTGAGCCTTCATTACATTGAACAATGATCTCTTGAACCTGTGAATGCATGTCCCACTCAGGGAAGGGAGGAGACATGATCAACCATATCAGGCAGATAATAGCTTGAATACATGAGCAGAAGACAATGATGGATCCTGCCAGTCTGTTTCCTAGCCATTTCCTCATCTGGTTTCCTGGCTTAGTGGCCAGGAAGGCCAAAACAACCGTGATGGTCTTGGCCAAGACACAAGAAACCGAGAGAGAGAAAATGATGCCAAACATAATTTGCCTGAGAAAGCAAGTCACCTTCCCAGGCCAACCTATGAAGAGCAGAGAGCACAGAAAACAAAGCAGGAGAGAGGAAAGAAGGATGCATGTGATGTTCCTGTTGTTGGCTTTGACAATGGGGGTGTCCCAGTGCAGAATGAAGGCCAGTGCCACCAAAATGACAACTAATGAAAAGAAAAGGATCAAGGAAATCAAAACGATTCCCAAGGGTTCACCATAGGATAAATAGCTGAAACGTTTGGGAAGGCATTGGATCTTTTCTTCATTCGAATACTGATCCGCTGGGCATCTCTCACATTGGTTAGCATCTGAAATACATGAAGAAGAACAAGTCACTTCCAACTATATAGGACAATCTATAGAGCTAATTGAGAGAGATCATTGCTGGGGATGCCATTCACAAACCCCTTGACATATAATAATGCTTTCTTAAAAAGTGTACGGATTCTGGTCTGTTATTTATTCATATATATTCCTTTGAACTGCACTATTAGTGGTGAAGGACTCTGAAGAGAATTGCAACTCTCAACTAAGAAAAGAAATCAGAATAGAATGGATTTAGAAAAGTGTTTAAATTAGACCCATCTTTGAAAAAGAAATCTACCAAAGGTTACCCCAATTCCATTCCTCTAAATAGCATATCAGAGATGGAACGAATGAAGAAAAGATGAGTTTGGAAGCTCTCAACTCTTAGCTGTCACTTTTTTTTACTTACCTGTTTCAATTGAAATTCTTCCTTCAGAACATTGTCTACAATTGTAGCAACAAATATGTTTTCCCTCCTGAACAACTCTGCTGTACCCCTGACGGCAGCTCTCTACACATCTGGCATGGGGAGGTACCTGAAAGAAAAATGGAAAGGTTTAGGAATGAGATTCATCAAGATGTTGTGCAAGTCCTCCTTTTTATTAGGAGAACTGGGTACTTTCAGGGACATGCATAATCTTCTGATGTCAACATGTCCCAAGATGCTTTCGGAGAGTGTCCATATTTATATTAAATCATTCTATTCCTAGGATGCATGCTGAGTTTTCTGCAAACACGTCAATTCTCATTTGTTCTTGTAGAACAAGAAAAGGAGATAGTTGAGTGCATGGGAGTCTCTGGTGGAGGATATCTAAAATGTTTCAATCCTACTAGAAATCAGATCAGATCAGAGAGGTTTTAAACCTGCAATCTAGAACAAAACAAAGGATTTCATTCTGTAGGAAATGTCATCCATTTTCATTTTGTAGGATTAAAATACCCTTGGTGTTCCTTTTTATCTGCCAGGACCCAAAATCAATAAAGACATATGGACTTACTTCTGAGCAGTCCTCACCTGTAGATAGAAATCTTAACAAAATAAAGGACTTCTTTAGCATCACTATAGATATCAATCAAAGCTTCCATATTCAACTGCGACTTTGTCTTCTGGAAAAAACACCTCCTTTCTGGGAGTCCTGACTAAATTCCATCAAGTATCATTTGTATGTAGAGATTTCTCTAAAAGGGGCTCCATAGGAGTGCAGCCATCTATAATAAACCTTTTTGTCCTTTCAGAAAGTATCCTCTTTTTACTCCATTCGTAACAGCAATACCCAATATTAAATATTAAATTGGGAAAATGCAAATTTCTGTTCATTACAAAAAATGCATATCTATTGTTTTTTAAGAAATTAGTAGCCTGTCGAGCAAACTAAATCAAACAAAAGGACACATGCATAAATATTCTTATTTCATATTAATTTCAAAATGCAACTCAGTTCCATAACGGAGTTGGAAGGGACCTTGGAGGTCTTCTACTCCAACCCCGTGCTCAAGCAGGAAAACTTATCCCATTTTAGAGAAATGGCTGTGCCATATTTGCTTAAAACCTCCAGTGTTGGAGCACTCACAACTTCTGGAGGCAAGTTGTTACAAAGATTAATTGTTCTAATTGTCAGGAAATTTCTTCTTAGTGTAGGCTGCCTCTCTCCATCCTTAGTTTACATCCATAGCTTCTTGTTCTGCCTTCAGTTACTTTGGAGAACAGGTTGACCCTCTCTTCTTTGTCAAGGCTTCTTAGATTTTGGAACACTGCTACCATATCACCCTTCATCCTTCTTTTTACTAAGACATATCCAGTTCCTGCAACCATTCTTCATATGTTTTAGCCTTCTTTCCCTAATCATTTTTGTTGCTCTTCTCGGTATGTAGAGGTCTTCATAAAGACCATCCCAAAAAGCTAGTTTAACCACAAGATTCCAGAATACCATCACCATCCTTCACTTCTGGAATTTCAGGTCATTGGAGAAGAATATCTTCACCTCCAAATAATAGTCTACCAAGTTTGAGTATGCCAAATATCCCACCTGCTGAAACTTGTGATTCCATACAATGGCACTTTCATTAATGGTGAACTTCTTCCCATCAAGAGGTTTGGAGACCATCTTTCCGATATGGACTCTCTGGAAGGATTGATTGTGGAAGGAGACAAAGTTGAAGATGTCGTATCCCGGGTCAAACTCCCCTTTCTCATCAAAAAAAATTCTTCTCCCACACTGTTATTAAAACGGGTGTTTTTCAGAAAGTAGTGAAGCTGTATTTGAGAGAGTGGAGAAGTCAGATCAGTTATCCAAATCTTCCCCAAAGTTTGGCTTTGTTCAGAATCCCAACACAGTTTCTTTAGTGAATCTCATCAGAATTGCTTTCTGGTTTGATTTAGAAATCTCTTCAACCCATGCACCACAGCCAATTTTAAATTACAGTAATATCAGTTCCAACAATTTCCTAATATTTATTGATTCTACTGGAATATATTAACAGATAAAATTAAGATTCATGGCATTCATGGTATTGCTGATTTCCTTCCCATCCCCTTCAGGGCTTCCATACATGTATCTGAGAAAAGCAATGACACACCTCCCATGGCTGAAAATGCCTAAGATTTGATCCATCCTGATTTCTCAGAGGAGCTGGCTTTGCTCTTTTTGAATGCATTGCTTGCATGATATGTGCTGCAAGATAAACCCCATTGTAGGTATTGTAGCTCTCTCCAGACATGGTCATTTCAAACACAGAGCCAGAGACTTTCTTGAGTTTTTCCCTCCCAGTGCAGCGTTTAACTCCTTTCTCATATGGAGGCAGTGAACAAAGAAACACAGACTCCCAGAACCAACTAAGATGACGAAAGGGATGCAGAAAAGGTTTTATTCTCTCAAGAAACTCCTGAAATCCTGGCACAGTCCTTGTATGGAGTGAGAAGTATAGGGAGCCGTTGAAAGTCTGAACTAGGAGGCTCCCTTTTAATGATAAAATTACACTGAAATCCCACTGGTAGGTCATGATCCATACTCTGTGATCTATTGGGTTCCTTTGGTAAACTTCACGAGAATAAAGCGCCCATTGTAAAATCTCCATAGATTGGACAGTCCCAGAAGCAAGGAATACAGTGACATTCTTCTGTAAGATAATGTCTAATATTTTGTCTCTGCGTTCTTGAAAGAGATCTTTATTTAAGAGTGCATCTCTTAAAATGGGGATCAATGCTATCCAAGCAATGCAAATATCACTCTGGAAGAGCCTTGGTTGGAGATGTTGAAAAAAAACTTTCCCCCTCTCATCCTCTGAGACCAAGAGGCCAATCCAGTTCCATCCAAAATGTTTTAGTAAATGAACAATCCCTTCGTATTGCAAATTTTCATTGGGAACCATGCTAAAGAAGGAAGGGAACTGCCTTTTGTCACTCAGGACTGGGTCAAAGGAACCATAATTGAGCTGTTGGGAAAAATGATGCATAGAAAATTAAATTGAGGGTGGTTTTGTGATCCATGAAGAGCACAGAGCTTTTCCATTCTCCATAGAATAATGGATTTTACTGTGACATTATGACTTTATTGTAACATCCCAAAAGTTGCCATCAAGTGTTACATGTAAGGAGATCATAAGCTTCATGATAGTAGATTCTGGGAACTCAGAACTGGGAAATGATAGCCTGGTTAAAATTGAAAGAAGCTAGTGAAGGAAGACTGCCCTCCCCAGATAGAAGAAGAAACCGTGAGGCAGCAAATAATCCAAACACAATTCAAATAATTAAATCACAACCATTTACACAAGGAAAGAAAAGCCCTGTCTAGCTCATTGTCAGAGCTCACACCCCAGGCAAGCTCAAGTATAAACACTTGAGATAAGCCTAGCTACAAAAAATTCAATTAGCGTTAGTATGTAGCAAAAGAGCAAACACAGTAGCTATTGCTTGTTAGACCAATTACCAGAACAAATAGACCCAGGAATTAGATTTCTCAACCCTGCTTCCTTTCAGGAACAGAGATTAACCTCCTTCCTTCCAAACAAATAGGGAAAATTGTCCCATCAATAAACACAGGTTTAAACATCACCAAGCACAACTTAAATGGAACCAAAAACCAATTTTTGACCCAAACTCTAGCTAGCCAAGAAGCCTTGCTGCATGTCACTCATCTTAGTTCCTTGTCATTAAAAGCTTCTTTCCTGCAGCTCTGCTTCATTATTCAATTATTTCTTCAAAGTGCATCCTGGCGGGAAGAATCCTAACGGGGAGCATTTTCCTCCCAACACTAAGGTTTATTAAAAAAAATGAGTTTTTCTTTTAACAAGATGAGCTATGGAAAATGGTCACACCTGTGGAAACTTGTAGATGTTCAACATGTGGGCCATCTGGATGGAATTGAGGGAGGTGAGGTCACCAAGGATAGGCAAGAAGTTCAGATTCCTTCTTCTGACACAGTTGAAGTTGATAGGACTCCCTTGATTGAGAAACAGAATATATAAAACATGCTTACTGGCCCTCCAGGCATTGAAATTGTTTTCATACATCTCCACTGTTATTGTGATGTTGGGGAACAGCTTGGCATTCTTGTTGACCTCGTCAACAGCAAAGTACATAGAAAGAGGATGCTGGGCATATTTTGGTATCATGCTGAAATGAAAATGCAGAAGTAGAGAAAATCATATCACCCAAAAAAATGTCTAAATCTAGTTCTAAACTTCAAAGATAATTTCAGAAATTTATTCCGTAGAGATTAATTTTGAATTTCAATGAAAGAGACTTTTGGCATTGCACATTATTCTGACCATCTCCACAATCACTGATTAGCAAGACCTGTTCTAGAACTCTAGGCAAGAATTTTGGATAGGTTGACTGGAAGACGTTTTCCTAACAGAGAAAGTGATGTTCCTCTTTAGAACAGATCATAGAATAAAATCTAGGGTAGCTGCCCCTCTTGCTGACTCCTCTACTTTTTGAGTGACAAAGTTGTCAGTTGAGTTGGTAGGGGACCTGTTCGATTTCCCCCTTGTTTCTGAGTTTGTCTCCCAGTTAATGTCTGGGTAAATAAAAAACCCCATTGCTATTGTGGTGTATTTTGAGATACATTTGTTTATTATTTATTTATTTATTTATTTATTATTGTGATTTATATGCTGCCTTTCTCCCAAGGGACTCAAGGCGGCTTACAAAATAACAGTTTCCCATACAAATCACAACAAGGTAAAAATTAAAATCAACACCCCAATTAAAACGGTTTAAAATTATTACAGTGTACACCCGACAGTTCAGTTGAGTTGACGGAAGAGCCACGTCTTCAGCTCGCAATGGAAGGAAAGGTGGTTGGGGGCTGTCCTGAGCTCGGTGGGCAATCCATTCCAGAGGGTCAGGGCCCCCACAGAGAATGCTCTCCTCCTGGAGGCCGTCAGCCGACATTGTTTGGCCGATGGCAGCCTGAGGAGCCCACTCTGTGAGAGCGCACGGGACGATGGAAGAGCGGCAGAAGATGGTCCTGCAAGTACTCCGGGCCTAAGCCATGAATGGCTTTATAGGTAAGCACCAGCACCATGAAACGAATCCGGAAAGCCACCGGCAGCCAGTGCAGCTCACGCAGGAGAGGTGTTACACGGGAGTATCGAGATGCCCCCATAATTACCCGCGCGGCTACATTCTGGACTAGCTGGAGCCTCTGGACGCATCCCAAGGGCAGCCCCATGTAGAGGGTGTTACAGTAGTCCAACCTAGAGGTAACAAGGGCGTGAGTGACCGTGGCAAGGGCATCCCGGTCTAGAAAAGGGCGTAACTGGCACACAAGACGCACCTGTGCGAAGGCCCCCCTGGTTACGGCCATCAGATGATTGTCCAAGGACAGCCGAGAATCCATTTTCTTTGAAAGTCTAAGAACATGAGCAAATCAACCTTATGATTGAGTGGATATATGTTAATCTTGTGCAGTAAATTTTATGATCAGGTCCATAAACCAAACTTTTAGTTCATAGTTTGCTGATTTGCTGGAGCTTCCTTCTTTCATAGGAAAGGTACATTGAAGATTGTATAAAATGATCAATTATCTTCTAGATCTTCCTAGAACTGCTCTAAACGTTTACATGCAACATTGACATCAATATATTTCCATCAATGTTTAAGATGGAAATAAATATTCGCACTGTTCTTTTGAATCTTGTCATCTTTTCTTCATCCAATGGCATCGGCTAATAAACACCTTCATAAGAATGATGTGAATTGCAGTTTCTCAGAAAGGAGCCACTTGGAATTGAATTCCCTTGATAAAGTGCTGTTAAAAGCTCCCAGTATTTGCTGAATGGAAACATTATGAGTGGAAATGACCCTGTTTCCCATGAACTCAGTGATATGTCCATTTTTGAAATGTAGAGAGGAATAATCTTGGAGCATTTGTTTCAAGCACCAAGAGCCTTGGTACTACAGTGGTTTAAAGCACCCTGTTATTAACACAGCTGCCTGCAATTTACTGCTGGTTCGAATCTCGCCAAGGCTCAAGGTTGACTCAGCCTTCCATCCTTTCTAAGGTAGGTTAAATGAGGACCCAGTTTGTGGGGGCAATAAGCTGACTTTGTATAAATATACAAAAGGATGAAGGCTAATGCTGAGCACATTGTAAGCCGCCCTGAGTCTTCGGAGAAGGGCGGCATATAAATCAAATTTTTTTTTTAAAAAAATCCAAGTTTACCTTAAAATGCATCTTTAGATTTTTAGATCTCTAAGAGGGTTCGTAGTAACATATGAAAGTCCCACATGCATGTTTTCCTAAGGGCCATCTCTCAATGGAAGCCCTGCTCAACATGTCTAACATCTGTAAATATGACAGCCAAACTAGCAGTGTCATTATTGAACCAGAATAATTTCCTTTTCTCTACATTCTATCACCCTTGTCTGAAGTTACATTGCATTTTATTCAAAGAAGTTTGAGGCACTTACATTCCATATTCAGAAATTACTGGCATTTTTTTGAAACTCTGTGTACGTTCATCGGGATTTATAAAGGAAAAAAATCCTCCAAGTATTGTTTTAGCTCCAGAGTTGGAAAATTTCCTTGGAACATTATTGGGCTGGAGGCAGATGGATTTCAAACTCTTACTGACACTGGCAGGAAGCAAGAAGAGCAGA